CAGCAGAAGCTGCACCAGAACGCTGACAAATGCACTCTAGTGTGGAGGTTATTAGCCCGCACAACACAAGAGGTGCAAGGCACGGGTACTATAGCCGTACCATGAAGAGCGCTACCAGCAACTAGAACTAACCAAGCACTCCACCTACGCCATAATTAGTCCGCTAGTCGATCTCTTTAAGAGATATTTCCAGAACTACGGTGAAATTTTATCTTCGAAACCCAGATCTGGCTCCCCTGGCCCTGAATTCGATTCGAAACGCCTGCACCCCCACCTAGTACAACTGAGCACACAGAATTTGCCCGCGAGGGGTAACTCAGCTAAATAACCTTACCACAATACCTCGTTTACAGCGCCACAAAATGAACTAGCTTCACAATTCAGGTACGAAATGAGATAATATAATACAATAAATTAATCATAATTTTAATCCTCTGGCAAAATGATCACAAGTTAGTAGTCGAATAATCCTAAACTCATTCTAAAGAGACTGAGCTCTCCATCGTCCAAGACTATCTAGGGGAATAAACGTGCACCATCGCGATGCTAGGAGCAACTCGTCCAATCACGTGAGAGCTACAACATTCAGTCTCGTCCCAAGACGCTAATAACTAAATCCTATGAATTACCAAAATAATATCACAGTTAAACGAGATTCCAAATTCCAGGTATAAATAAATGTATTCAATCAAAACTAGTCACTAATCTAAACAAGAGAACTTCATCAAAATAACACGTGGTCAAAACGGTAGGTACTTGTCAAAACTCAAATCTTTCAATGAAGTTGAACTTCCAAGTCCAGCCAATACTACGTTCACAAAAAAAAAATAATTCACAGAATTCGGGTTCCGTCACACACGGGTATAGTTTCCCCGTCTAAAGAGTAGTAAATTTATTGATAATTTCTGTGGTGGAAGCGCGAATTCGCGATACATTCAGCCTTTTGGTAGGAAGCGGTGCTATACAAATTGTCACTTAGAATTGGTTTAGTCCTTCCTACGCTCCTCAAAATGGTTTCAATGGCTGATTTGTTTTAAACATTGTAGTCTAGCATTTTCATCAGTCAGATTGTTATTTTTTGTCAGGTTTTTTTTTCAGCAAATTGCCTTAGACTAGGAAGGTATTCAAGTACTTGGGTTCGATTTCTATAACATGCTCCGTTCCAATTTATGTTAAGGTAATATATCATTTATCAGGGCATTTAATTCTGTTGATAAATTTATAGCATTGACTTTTAATTTTCACCTAAATTTATTAAATAAATGTTATACCGTCAATGCCATTAATTTCGCCTTATGCTGAGCTAAAACTTTCTAGCGCGATCGAAAAGCTTTATATCCGTTTGGTGACAATCGAATCCTACAAATTGTAGTGCTGACATGTGAGAAATTTTCGTTTGAGGAACGAAAACAATCTAATTAGAGCTCGGAGTTTTAGGCTGTTTGCTTTTAACATGTCGAAAGCTCTATTTGATCTTTGGATTGTTTCTTCCTCGAATTTAATCGTAGCAATAAAGAAAAAGGAAGAAAGCCGCCTTTGGCAGCTTTTCTACCGTTGACCTTGAGTGGTGCCACAGCCCTGCAGCTTCTGTCTGCATGCTTTCAATCGTAGCACTGTCCGTGTAAAGAAGTTTGGGGAGGAGGTGGTCTCAGCACAGCCTAAAACCTGTCTCTTATACACATCTAGATGTGTATAAGAGACAGATTCTGGGACGAGCTGAGCCGCGAAGTTCAGGGAACCCAGAAGACTTTCCCAGCGTCGTCTTGAGGCATACCCTCTGTCCCTCAGGCGGGATGGAGTTGACGATGGAGGAGGCTGGGTCTGTTGGGAGAGACCACTGACCGGCTTGCAGCAGCCAACGGACGCCCAGCCAGGTGGTGTCTTGGGTGGGCTCCAGCGCAGACTTCTTCCAGTTGATGAGGAAGCCCAGCGATTGGAGGAGGTCGAGAGCTCTTTGAGTTGACGCGAGAGCCTCCTGGGCGGATGCCCCCCAGATGAGCAAGTCGTCTATATATCCGAGAACGTGCACGCTATAGACCTGATCAAAGGATTTGATCGCCCTACGGCAGCATAGCTAACGGGCTCGTCAGCGGCTGAGCGAAACGGGCTAAGGCTATTTTGTGTAGTGCTTATGCAAGTAAAATGAACCTTATTAAGTAATCACTGGCGGAGCATGAGAGTAATGTCACTGAGTCACCGGAATCACGCCCAGCGTGAGTCAGCCGGGCTGACGCCCAGCGACTCTCGCTCACGAGCGCAAACCCAAACACTGCACTCGCGAACTGGTAAACAGTTATTAGAACTGTGGTTACCTAATTTAACACATAGCATTTTTTAAGGCGAAAGCCTTACAATTATCAAATGATAATTGCAGGGAAATTTGTGCTAAAACTCACTTGGTTGTACGACTGGATATGGTGATGCAAAGCAGTCACTAGAGGAGCTGCGTAGCTGCCGTAGCAGCACGGACGGTGTCGTAGCAACGATTGAGAGCATGCAGACCTCGCCTGCATGGCTGTGGCACCACTCAAGGTCAACGGTAGAAAAGCTGCCAAAGGCGGCTTTCTTCCTTTTTCTTTATTGCTACGATTAAATTCGAGGAAGAAACAATTCAAAGATCAAATAGAGCTTTCGACATGTGAAAAGCAAACAGCCTAAAACGGAGTTTGCTCTAATTTATACGGTTTTTATTTACGATCGGCGAGTAAGTGCCATTCACTGCAAGCTGGCTGCTTACAATGTGGCATTGACGGTAATTCAGATCGTAAACTTAGTTGTCTTAATGTAATTTTTATTGTCTGGAAGCCTTATGAGTAATAGAATAGAATAGAAGTTTAGGCGCTGAAGAAATAGGCCCATGGCCTGTTGCCGATTCCTGTACCTTTCGTGACTTGATTCACAAGGGATCCGGCCTCTTGAAACCCGATCTTTCTATAACTGACGATTGATTGAGATAGCTTCTTGACTTATTGCCTAGTACGTAAGGTGATAGGCATTTTAAGACTGGACATATGCATCTGCATAGCTTCGTCTAGTTTGTTCTTGAAGGCGTTCATACTCGGAGCGTCAACGATGCTATCCGGAATAGGCTGTTCCACATGTCGGTGACTCTAAGCGAGAAGAAATGTTGTCGCATGGATGTGTTACAACACAGTTTTTTCGTTTATAGCCGTGGCCTCTGGTGTTGGTTCTTGTTTCAAATTCTAGTAATTCTTCTGAGACCTTGTATAGTATACATGTATACTTGTATGCTTTAATGAGGTCACCACGCAGACTCCGATAACTGAGGCTTGGAAGCTTCATAATCTTTAATCTTTCCTCATAGGACTTGCCTTTCAAGCCCGGAATTATCCTTGTTGCACGTCTTTGAACACTCTCGACTAAATTGTGTCCTTTTCTAGTTTCGATGACCACACGGCGTTTCCAAACTCTAGATTCGGGCGAACGGCAGCAATAAACGACTGCATCATTGTTTCTGCATTTAGGAACTCGAAAGAGCGTCTGATCACTCCAATTAAGTCGTTTATTGGTTTTATTAACTCGATTTTCCTTATGCTTGGGCAATTTTAACTCATTGTCGATATTAACTCCTAAATCTTTTTCCATTGTCAACTTCGGCATCATCACTCTGTCGTTGCAACCTTGTCTTCTCATACTGTAATCTTGCTGTTCATTATTCTTGCCAAGGTGGATTACTTTACATTTGTCAGCGTTAAAACGCAGCTGCCACTTACCAGCTCGGTCAACCAACCTGCTTGATTGGTAATGAGTGCACTGCAAATTGTTTTATCTACCCTGAATTTAAAATTTTCTCATTAATACCGGACTGAAGGTAGAAAAGGAAAAAAATTAGCAGAGAATGTTCAAGGACGTGCAACATGGATAATTACAGGCTTGAAGGGCAAGTCCTAATGTCCTATGAAAAAAGATAAAAGATTATGAATCTTCCGAGCCTTTGTTATAGACGTCTGCGCGAGGACCTCATTAAAGTATACAAGTATACTCGTGGTTTATACAAGGTCCCCGAAGGATTACTCGAATTTGAAACAAGAACCAACACCAGGGGCCACGGCTATAATCTAAAAAAAACTGCGCTGCAACTCATCCACGTGACATTTTTTCTCGCTTCGAATCACCGACATGTGGAACAGCCTTCCCGATTACATCGTTGATGCTCCGAGTATAAATGCGTTCAAGAACAGACTAGATAAAGCAATGGATAAATGTGTGTTCAAACTTGAAAGGCCTAGCACCATATCGAACCCGATGGAAGTCTAGTAGCCATATCAAACTATCGTCAGCTTGTGAAAGATTTGGTTTGAAGGACCTGTTTCTAGATCACCTGTGAACAAGTCACGAAAAGTACAAGAATCGGCGACAGGGCCACACCAGCATATTCTCCAGCGCCGACATCACTGTGATATGTGATATGATATGCTATAAATATCAAGGAAGCCGTTTTTGGCCTTTCGGTGTAAGCCTAATTGTTTTTTTTTCTGTTGGTTTCATCTGGCAACCAGGGTTGCCAGACAGGATTTTTTCCGGACGAATTCCGCGATATATTTCTTTTTAATGCGTTGGCAGGCTAAAAATTATGATAGGGGTGCTTCCTAATTAAATTTTAGTAACTGCAAAAGAAAAATATGAAATGAAATTTTTTCAAATAAATCTTCAAATATACAAGTATATAGCAACAGGCCATGGGTCTTTTCTTTAGTGCCGACACTGCTATTCTATAGTGAGTTATGGGTCTTTTTTTTCTGTTTCAAGGACTTGCCGTTTTTAGGCCATCTGTCAACTCTGGACTGTTTTCTGTGGTCCCCAGTGGCAACCCTGGTCCCCGTCACTCCCCGCGCGCGTTTGATGATGATCGAGTTATTGTAGGTACCTGGCCTTGTAGGCAGCGGAAGTCTGAGTGCACATTATTAAGGACGGGAACAAAAATTAGATTCCTGATCATAGTTGACTATTTCTAAACAATTTTTGAAATGTTTTGCTTCAATTTTGATGGCGCAATAGATTCAACTTCAATAAACCATGAAAGTATGTACCTAAATGCCATTGCCAAGTCGGCAACGCGGTAAGCAATACTAGCCAATAGGTAGCCTGAATAGGTCAACAACTTGTCTGATTCAGCTGATTGGCAGTTGCCCTTGTCCTGTTGTCCATCTACCTAGAAGTTAAGTCTATAGGTACTAGTCTTATTTTTGTGCAGTATATTATTCTGTATATACCTATATGCATAGTGGCAAAGCAGAGAGTTTTTTAGACTCTCCCTCAACTTCTCAAGTTCATTTTTGAGTCCTATAAGTAGACCAGTGAAGTATCTTGGATACCAGAATTATCATACATAAGAAATCTGTTAAAATCTTGAGTAAATGAGGAAATTAAAAATGAACTGATTCTAAAAAATCACTGGTTTGCCACTATGCCTATATGATATTTATCAATTTATGTATGGCCGATTGGCCGTCTTGTTTTTTAGCACGGTCATTATAAATTTAATCACTTTGTTTTTTAATTATGCTTAAAACATTTTTGCTAAAAATTCAAATACTTTTTTGTTTAAATTGCTTATAACTTACAAGTCTACCAGAAACCAAAGGCAGTCTTCAGCTTCAAATTCAACATTTTTGATTTTGTAATTACATGCTGCAAATTTTTAAAATGTTTTAAAAAAGACAGAGATTTGGGCACATCCACACATGGCCCTTGCCCCTAAGTTGCCTTTGTACCTAATTTTCCCAAAGGCTTGGGAACTCGGGTTTCTTTAAGATGTGACTCTATCCAAGTTTTAACAGTTTAGCACTACTAGTCCGGACTCCAGAAACTGAATTATGCAAAAATAGAATTATGCTAAAAAATCTGTTAGGCCTACCTACTTTTTTCAGACATGAATCACATGATCCTCATTCCTCAGTATGAAAGATGATTCCTATGTCAGCTGACTCTGCTCCAGTTGTGAGGATGTGCCCATTGGACATTGGTCTCACTCTTAAATTTTGAACATATCTTGGCTCTTGGGGTCTGAGTTGGGGATGTGCATCATCATAGTGCATGTGCACAAAGATGGAAAATATTTATCACATTTTTATATATAAGGTATATTATAAAAGCATTTTAAAAGGTAAAAATTAAGAAGTTTACTGAATGACTTGTAGCAGTAGGTCATGCATCATGCATGGTCAATGGTCAATTGGTCATGGTGTCATTTTGTGTTTTTTTTTTCAGGGTGCCTTATTCAAAAGGGCATGTATGAATAATTGATTTTTTGTTCAAGTACCTTACATACCAATGATACCATTAATGATTAATGGCATTAATTCAAGATACAATTTCCTTTGGTCTCCTCACTCAGTCACTCTCCTGCATGCCAGGAAAATTCTTGTAATATACAATTTTTTTACTAGAGATTCAGCAAGAGGAATTTATGTTGCCTAAAAGCTCTAAATTCATCTGAAATAATTGCTATAAAAATGACATGAGCAAACAAAACTGATCATTCAGCTAAAAAATTTTTCAGTTATTTTCTTAATGTCAGATGAGAAATGAGACCAAAATCTTGTCTTTAAATGTTAGGTACCTCAATTAAATGGACCTTTCTTTCATAACTCACCTAACGACCTAAGTGACCTAAGGCAAGCTAATTTTATGCTGAATATATTATAATGCAATTGCAAAAAGCAAAGTATCAGAAGCCTTCTGGCTTAAATTCAAGGTATAGAGACGATGGATTAATAAAGTTCAAAATGTTTAGTTCTCACTATAATAGGCATATCTGAATGGATTGAATAAAAAAATTATTCTGATTGTTTTTAAACCTTTTTTTTCTAACAGATTGTCAAACAGATACAGCATCTCCAGATGTTAAATTGACCTGGGAGCCAGCTCATTGGTACAAGGTTCCAAATGATCGTTGGGAACAAATTATTGCAGAACCTGCTGAGCTGGAAGAACAGTTGTGTAGACCTCTGAAGGTGCATAATTTTATTTAGCATCTATTTTGCTTTAGATTGATTTTTAACGTCATTGACGTCTTGTTTGTTAAAAGAACAGATTTTGTTAGGTTCCGGTATCTAGCATGTGGAATTGATTGATGTTGAATTGTGCTGGAATTTTTTCATATTGTGAAAGTGCATAACAAATGACAATACATTTTTGATAATGTTTATTTTGCATTATATAAAGCAATATTTAATCATTATTTGTATTTCTTAGATAAAGTTCCTAAGCCAAAATTCAATCACTCATGTGGTGGAAAAGTGTAAAGAATCATCTGTTATAAAAATATCAGAAGAACAACAGTCTGATCTCATCCCTGCTGTTTATGAAGGTAAAATTTGCTGTATTTTCCTATGCAATTTTTGTTTATGTGAAATGCAATGCAAAATTAAACTAGCCTGATAAAAGCTTGAAGAATTTTTTTTCTGCAATTAATTCAATTACAGTTCTGTATCATTAACTAATTTTGTATCTTTAACTTATTTTTGCCACTGAGTTGTTAACGTGCAAAAGCAGTTAACTCACTTTTGGACTAATTACTACATCTGTGTACATATATGCCTCCCTTGTATGCAGGAGGCCTCAAAATATGGGAATGCACGTGGGACTTGCTGCATTACTTGGCCGAATCTTCTGATATCTTGTGGCAAGGCAAAAGGTAAGGTAGAGAGCTTACTTCAATTTTCAATCGCAAGCATCCCCATTTACAAGTAATACAGTAAAAAGTCAACATCAACACTAAAGCCTAACTAATGAAATTGTCACAATCTAGAATGTCAGGATAGTTTCCCACTGATGTATCATAATATTGTGATATAATATATCAGATGAGATACTACTGAATTATAAATCTCAGAATTTACCGGTGTATTCTGATAAACGTAATATTTTTTATCTCTGGTGACAATATTGGTGTTGAAGTAAGTAAATTTGAATTACAATTTCACAGAAGCTTGTGTTGCAGTTTACAGAATGTTTAGAGCTCTTATTCTTTGTTCTCTAATGATGCCAAACAATATCTTCACCAGTACTTGCATGTTATGGTTGTGTCTTGTTTCTCACATTTTTATTGTGTGGGCAGAGTGCTGGAGCTGGGCTGTGGCGCAGGCATACTAGGAATCTATGCTGTTCTGCAAGGAGCCTCCGTCACGCTGCAGGACTATGTACGAAATTGGTACTGCTTCAATGAATTATTTGCTAATACAGAACCGTTCAGCAAAAAAAATTGATTAATCGGTTATGAATCAGCATGTATGACTAAATTATTCTTATTTATTATCTATCTCTGTCAGAGCGTACTGTTGCGCTCAGTCAGAAAAGAAATATTTATTCGTCCAAGAAATGCGCTCTAATGTGTTCTTAACATTAATTAAACGTGTTTTTTTTTCTTCAGAATGAGGATGTGATTGAACATATAACAGCCCCAAACGTGCTGTACAATGTTGCTGAGCTGACAGAGACTAGTAACGAATCAGGTTCGGCCGATCAAAATGGCGAGGAATTTGAGGATCTCCAGGTCGCTGACGCTCGTGTCTCTATTAGCAGAAGTGCCCTGCAGCTGCTGCAGACCCGTGTACAGTTCTGCTCGGGTGACTGGGGCACTTTACCTGAACTCCTCGGATGTTCACTTGACCCAATGGATGGAAAGGTCTCTACAAATACAAAGCAATCAATTGCCATATTGCACAAAACACGATCGTCTAGCCTCCATGTTGAAGACAATATTGTAAAGAAATCTCAGCCGGACTGTGATCAGGAAACAGCCCATTGTTCCTCTCTGCTAAGTAAAGTTAATAACTCCAACGATAAAAGTTTAGAGGTCGTTTGCCAGAAAAGTTGTGATGGCAAAAACTGCCAAGATTGTGATATTGTTACCTGTAGAAAATATTGTTTGACGGAGAAGAGGGAAATTAATTCATCAGACGCTGGCCTGATCGAAAATATGCATGTCCAATCAAATGAATTGTCACAATTTGACGTAATAATGACCAGCGAGACAATCTACAATCAAGAGAACTACGAAAAGATCCTAAAAGTCTTCACTACTTGCCTAAAACCTCATGGTGTTGTGTATCCTTTATTGCATTGTTCCGAACGTCATATACTGTAATCTAGTGTAATTTATCGTGGTGATTTAATTGCCGTGGCTTCTCTTACACCCGATTTTTAATGCCTTACTGCAGATGTATCTTTATGCCTCGTAACATTCTTTCTACATAGAATTATCATTACAAGCTGTTTATTTACATTAAAGATTTTAATACTCGTATGACTTGAATACTGATCAGTTCTGTTTCTATAATGCTTGGCTACGTTCATCAGATGAATCTGTTCATCAAAGTGTCATCGGCAAGGCGACTGAACGTAAATAATTTAAAACATCCTGACCATGTTGGTTATCACTAATGTTTCATCGACATGATTGGAGCATGTCGTTGGTTCCTAACTGGCAGCTTCTTGTAAAAATTCTCGCCAAAATCAGCAAGGTAGCCGTATGGTTGAGCAAGGCTAGACCGAAACGGTAATTTCTGGGTTTGAGACCTGCAGTTAAATGTTCTAATTCCACTGTTTGGAATTGGCGACAGGAAACGTTACCTTATTTAACGCTGACACCTCTATGTTGAAATGGCATAATTCCACGTATTTGCCTAAATTACGCGCGTTCCTTCCTTAATTAACAATTAGTCTGTTGGCGGCCAAGAGCTACTACTTCGGCGTAGGAGGCGGCACAGCTTCATTCTTGGCGGCTGTTGAGCGTACAGGTTGTCTGCAACACAAGAAGCTCTTCGAACACACGAGTGGTAAGTGACTTCATTCAGATTTATTTTTCTCACACTGAAGTATTCCACATTTCTGTGCATTTGTCTAATGATCCTCGTTTTCTGGGCAGGTGTGCGGAGAGAAATAATAGAAATCAGACGAGTACCGTATTATATTCTTTTATTAACCTTATTTTGTCAATCTTCGGAATCGGTCACATTTCAATCCCCAAAAAACCTCTTTGAACAGTAAATTTCTTGACGTAACTGCTGGGAAATATAAGCAGTGGATGTTAGACAGAAAGCAAAACCTGGGAACAAAACAAAAATTACATTCACAGCATCTTCATTGGAAACGTTTCGACGACCAGCTCCATTATCAGTTAACATCAAGGTTGCTGAGAAGCGCGGCAAAAGCTATCTCTCGAATCTGCCGCTCTAACATCTGTCTCACTCTGTTGCGCTTGTGCCTTAGAGCGATTTCAAGAAATTTGGTCTTACCTCTGGTATATCTGAATTGCTGCACACCTACAAGTGCCTACAGCTTTTCCTATCCTTTCCCTGCTGATTGTATTTGTATTCGGTAACTTTTGAACTGATGAATGCCAACGTGTAAATTACGGTCCTACGTAATTTATCTGTTCTAATACCAGCGACTTCGATCACTATCGGAAGCTCAACATGAACTACTTCATAGAGTGGATTTCAATTGATTATCACAATCTCATTAAGGTCTACGAAGTGTCTGCACCGGCGTAAAAAAATTAACCAAAACTCCGAAGAATAAATTGTATAAAGTTTAACGTTATCACAACAAACAAATAACTACCTAGCCCATATTTACACACAAAATACACTCGTTTCATTCAGTAATGTCTGCTTCAAATGCGAAAATAATTATTAAATGAAATTATTGATGTCGAAATTAAAATTGGATAAGTATGCGTCAACAGCAAATTATCACGGAGCAAGTCTCTCGTAGACCCAGCCGTCCTCGCCAACTTTAGTGCAATCAGACAACTGCTCTGTTGAGGAGGGTCTTCGGAAGCGGATCCTGTCATGCAGTCTGTTGCTCTGACCTTGCCAGAACTCAACTGCGTGGGGCACCACAACAAAACCTCCCCTGGAAAAATCGCATGAACAATATCAACGGGAGACTGTTCCTTTGAGTCAGACATTAATACATACATTTTATGTATTGATGTCTAATGAAAATGTGTTTATACATACGGATGGGAAAGCAAACGAGGCAAGCCAATGCAGGAAAGCGGGATGGGGAGGAGGAGCTTCTAAAATGCAAAACACGTGCATGAAAACAACAGAGCTTCCTATTATGCATCAGGACGTTTGTCAATTGAAGTAGGTATAGTAGCTCAAAGTCCAGTATGAATGTAAATTGTATTAGACAGTCAACAGATATAGGTACCTATTTGATCTTTCACCACTGATGGCATCCCCGCCTTTTACATATACCTAACTTTACAAGTCAACCGAAATCTTTCATGAAAGAGTGATTAAATTACCGTATTCCAGATCAAGTTTTCCTTGCAATGCTATGGCAAAATGCTGCAAATAAGCAAATAACATGCTACGAAAGGTAATATCTTCATATCCTGAGTCGTCAAGAAAACTGACCATTGTTCAGGTTTTGGCACAGGGATGCTAGTGTCAGCAAACATCGTGGCCAGCTCAACCTCTTTGGTGGTGAGAACATCGCGGCTGGAGATCACCTGTTGCCGAAAATGTTGATACGTGCAGTTGAAAATTTATTATCATTATTTTTTTCGACAAAAATTTTTTGATACGTGAAGTTTATATTAAAAGTCAATGATAAGTTCGAAGACTAAGGATGTAAATCAGAATCACACCTTACCTTGCTCTGTTCACTGACGTTGGCCCCAAGTTGACTGGAGCGCGGTCTCGACTGGAAGTATTCCTTCGATTCCTCAGCACTTAGTTTCTCAACTTTACCCTCAATACGCACCTGGAAAGAAGAATTTTGAAAATATTTTAATGACAGTCAGATGCTGCTTCTTCACAAGTTATTGATGCTAGTATGAACAAATGAAAATTAGCAAGTAAACTAATGAACAATATGACTGACAGATCTATCTTTAAGAAACACTCACAGATCGTTGGAGAGGTTCCCAATAGAAGCAAAGACTGGCACGGGGATTTTCCATCTGGATACGAGGACATCTATATATAAGTAGAATGCTCAGCATGCTTCAGGGATATACCTGATATCCCATACAATATTGGCTGGCAAAAATTAAGATAAAGGTAGACTATAGAATGATCTCAATGTTAAGTTATTTCTTATGATAATAAATAATCATATGATAAAAATGAAACATCATCAGGTGAAGAACATATATGATACTGATTGACAGCTAGATAAATATTACACAACTTCTGCTTTCATGAAATCCTACAAAAATCACTCCTTTTCCTCAAGTTTGAATCTACCAAATAAGTTCTGGAGGACTCCTTCCAAAGAAATGTTGGTGAACTCGCCTTGCTAAAGTTATAACGCTAGGACTAGAAACAACCATGGACATGCAACGCCTAATGCATTTATAGTACATCTCAACCACTTGGAAACAACATCTGTGATTTTTGACATATTTATGGAAATTTAATCGCACCTTCTGATCTATAAGATAAAAAAACGTATCGATATTTGACATGATCAAGCGCTGTATATATATAGGGAATGCACAAGCGCATGTCAAGAACTGGACGTGATAATTTATTTTAGTTGGAATATGAAGGCATTGCAAAACTGTGAGGCACAAAATAGCATTTTAACACGTTTTTTAACACGTTTTTAAACGTTTTTCTTAGCTTAGCTTCGCGTTTGTTTGTTTGTTTGTTTGTTTGGTCGGGCTGTACGTTCACCATCAAATTTCCAAAATTCGTGTGTTGTGTGCTTTTCGCTTCAATCATATATCTGCCCGACACATCGTTTTTTGGGGCGAGCCATAATTCATTTTCTACTTTTTAGTCCACAAGAAAAACGTGTTTTTTTAAAAAGTTTTTTTTTTAAGTATTTTTCATACTTCAGAACGATAATCATATGGGGGTTCTATGTTCCATGTAAAATATTGTTTTGAATAGGTCTTTTTCCATTATTATACATAAGCTTTATTATTATTTACAATTCTGGGACAACAGAAATGACGAACATCGCGATAGTGAAATTATCACGCCCGGACGCCAGGCTAACATGCCTGTAATACAATATAATAATCTTATTTTTATCAACTTCACCCACCAATTCTTTCCCCTTGCGGCTACCATAATTAGTGTAGAACTTGAAACCTTCTGGACCGTAGCTCTTCAGGAGTACCATTCTTGCTGATGGAAATCCATCTCTGTATGAAAAGGAATTGATCTGAAATATTTAATAACTCAGAAATACAGGTTGCTAGCAACTTGTGTTATAATAGTGTCAGGGAGAAATTTTTCTCGATTTCCTCAGTCAGAATATATTATGTTCAATATATTTTTTTCCATGTGTAATTTATTGTATTTTGTAATAAGTTTTTGCTAATCAAAACCTGCTTGAATAGTTCAAATTATACAAGTGAACACAAACCTTGTGGCAGTTGCTAAGCACATTGCATTTGCCTCTATGATGCCCTTGCAGTTACATGCCTCTTCAAACCATGCTTTGAACTGGCCAATAGGTTCCTTGCTAGAGAGATGTTCCTCTAAGAATACCTCTTGAGCATTCTTATAAGGTTGTCGCATACCTGAAAAATAAAAATTATTGACAAATACAATCAATTTTTATTCATAATTTCTAGGTACCGTTTTAAAGTGTTTTGAACATCCCATACACAATTGACTATCAATTCTTCTTTCATTATGAACATGTGAGCAATTCATGAGTCAGAAGTCATGAAGAGAAGAAGTCATGAGTCATCTCATAGATGGCAGAAAATTATGTAATCCTGTGCTGGTATTTCAAATATTATTACTCAGATTCAAAATTGTGAAAAACTTATCAATATCCTGAAAATTTTAATCCAAGATTAGAAGAGTTTTATAACATTCAACAAGCTGGCAAATCTGGGCATTGACAGGCCTTCTATTTAGTCTAAGCTTAACTACCTACCGTTTTTAGTTTATAAACTATCAATAAGAAGTTAGTCACCACTTGACTTGAGTCCCTACCATACATGAAAAATAATGTAGGTATCTATCAATGAGATCAAACAAAAAATCTAATGAAATGCAAAACAGTATAATTTGAATGTGAGATCCAATGTTTTCAAAATTTGACAGTCATTTCTTCACATAGTTACACAAGCTCTCAAAATTTCTTTCCCTAATTTATGTACACTATTATATATTACTAGCTTAGGACACATGCTCAAGGGTAGAAAGAAGTGTTATGTATGGTTAACATCTAAAAAATAGGTAGAACTGCAAGCATGAACTTTCTTCAATTGGAGAATCAGGTACTTGCACTCAAGTCAAGCATATATCTGGTGCAAGTATCAGATGCAGCTCACCTATCAGACGAATGGGCATATCCAAGTAGAAAATCCTGAACATAGGGTGCAACTGTTTCATTTTTTTTATTATAAATGGGTGTTAATTTTAGTTTCTCTCTGTCTATTTGTTGTTAACTATAATCTATACTGACCCTCAATTGCTGTCCTTACAGAAGAGTACCGTATTCATAAAGCTCAGTCCACAATGACTTCATCATTGCATCATAGAGACAAACAAGAGCCTTTTGAGTTACAATCCCTCGATAAAGATTTGTAAAATTTTGGGCCAATGTTAAGCATTGTGGATACCATCATTATCATATCTCAAATACGGTACTGGTATAAAAAATTAGAGGCAGTGCAGGGAATTAAAACTTCCCTAGAAAAATAGGTAGATTTTTGCATTTTCCATTGTGTTTTATACAGTTATACCTATGGGAAATTTTAACTGGTCTTTGAAATTTTTTATTCAACCACTTTTTAGTGGTTGAATACTGAATTTGAGACAAATGCTCGCTGCATCATAACTTGCAACTCACTTTTAGCAAACTCAAATATGCAGAAAACCTTGTGCTGCTCAGCAGCCATCTCACTCACAAGTGACAGTAAAACAGACAACTGGCTGACACAAGAACTGTAGTGGCATTTTCTGACACTACTGCTGCCACCCAATTCCTTGTCTGAACAGGTTTAAAAAAAATGAATTTTTCTTTTTCCATTGGTGCATAAATTATTCATTTTGAGTTCATAGTTAAATGATTAATAATTATTTTTTCATGTCCATCATTTGGAATAACCCTTTATGATGAATTTGTTAATTTTTTTTTTAGAAAGAATAATAACATTACTAGTTTTAATATATGAATATAAAGTTATTTAGGGGCTTAACAATATGTTAGAGGGGTATAGGCTCCCTAAAATAAGCTTAATGATGCAACTGGTTAATAGCACTATGGTTTGTCAAATGACAGTTGCTGTGACAACTTGTATATTTGATGAGCAAATCATTGATCTTGAACCAGAAGATATGAGATTAAACAAAAACTTACCACCAATATCAATAGACATTTTCAAGTGATTTAGAGAAGGAAGCAGTTTTTTAAAGCGGTGAATCTGCAACAGCATTCATAAATCTTTCTTCCTCTTCTGGTTGTAGTTTTATGGGAGCTTCATAACATCTCCACAATTCCATGCAGCTCCAAAATTAAATGTAATTGCAGGTACAGCATGGCTTTCTGAGTAAGAAGAAAGGCATAATTAGTAACTATCATAGCCTTCAGAGTCATAGGCAATCCAGTCAAAAATATTTTTAAATATAAAATGGTTGAAAACAGTTTACCGTGGAGCAGTATGATATGGGGCCATTTATTAACAATAGAACTTGTACCATAACTAGGGGCCATTTATTAACAACAGAACTAGTACCATAACTAGCATAACATAGGTGTTCATAACTAAAATCTTATACTAGATTTCCTCTAAGCTGAAATTTCAGAACAAACCTAGTCACCAGACTTAATTAATCTTGAATATAAAAACCAATCTGGTGACATTTAATGTGGTTACTTTGAACAGTTTTTGTTCAAGTTACTTTGAACAGTTTTTGTTCAAGTTACTTTGAACAGTTTTTGCACTGTAACCAGGTGCATTCAAGCCTTTCAAGGTAGAACAAACTCATTCACTTTGGGCATTGGGTTGAGGCTGTTGAGCTCATATAAGCTGGGTGCGCAGCTGTAGACCAGCAAATTAACGCTCAAATCAGCCCTGGAGCCAACATCAGCCATCTAAATGCTATAGATATTGTCATCCTGGCACCTAAGCAGCTGTAGTCAATTGACCTATCTCACCACACAAACTTTAAACCAACACTGCTTCAGCACACAAGCTGCTCCTCCACATAGTTAACAGTCAATATGTTGTTCTCCAATGCTTTATAACCCATACCACCACTTCTTACACATGCTGTTATCCTAAGTGTCCGCTGACCACACTGCATTGCCGCAAATGTGAACTGTACCAAACAGTAATGCGTCATCACCTTACTTACTCCGCAAGATGTTAACCCCGCGTCACTGTTTCCTTGCCTTACTATCCCCCAGCATCTTCCCCCGCACTTACCCTGACTCTCCAGTCTCCACCATTATTGCATGGCTATCTGGAGGCTTAGCTCGCAGACCTTTGATGCTTATCCAAATTAGGCTAGGTTAGGTTAAGTTACAACTCATATAGATTCTCTTTTCATAGCATAATGCAGTCAAGTGAGCAGAAACTAAGAAAAGCCGTCCAGCAGTCGGTGAAAAAAGGCGGGGAGACGGGGTAAGCATGGAGGTAGAGTTATGCTGGGGGAAAACAGCTGCGACGAATGAACGGGCTGGAGTGCTGGCTGTGTATCAACAGCGGTATGGCGTAGGGAGTTGCTTACCGAAAATTGTCAGGAGGTTAGACGGCATGGGATAGAGCTGTTAGGCGGTTTTAAATATGGCATAGAGCGATTGTATTGGTGGCTTGGCTTGCTTCTCATTAGCTTGCTGGTTAATTTGCATGAAGGGGATTTGCACCTTTGGCTTTTAACATATAATCCCTTAGTCTACTCTGCCCTTTAGCAGGCTTACGCATAGAAAGGAGGATGAAAAATATGCTGGTCTTGGGCAATGCTGGCCTCTGGCATGCATCCCTATGATCCCTATAAGCTCATTGGGTTGAGCATATGTAATAGGTCTAAGGTAAAAGGTATGACATAGGATCCATCATGCCACTGATGCCAGGCTGTAAAGGATGGCACAAGCCGCACAACATAGGTCAAGGATGCCGAATTGCCGATTTTGTTACACCAAAGAGTGACAAAGACACTGGCAGAGGTACAATCAAGATGTATGCCACTGGATGGCAGTCAGCAGTTTTGCTTCTCCACAAATCACAGTTCATGGTCAATACGGCCGATGCGTCAAATTGAGGTACAGGCCAATGCGTCATTCAGCTACAGCCCCTACAGGCATAAGTGCATATAATTGACTAAATTGAGCACCCAAGCATACGCACTCACAGCTACCCAAATGGCTACCTTGAAGCTTGAATTGAGTGCTTACATTGAGAGAGCATCACAGCCCTGACGATGCCAATGGGGGTGGGATGCATGCCAGAGGCCAGCATTGCCCAAGACCAGCATATCTTTCATCCTCCTTTCTGTGCGTTATTACAGTGCAACGTGAGTGCGTAAGCCTGCTAACAGGCAGAGTAAACTAAGGGATTATATGTTAAAAACCAACGGTACAAATCACCTTCATGGAAATTAACCAGTAAGCTAATGAGAAGCAAGCCACCAATACAATCGCAGATCGCTCTACGCCGTATTTAAAACCGCCTAACAGCTCTATCTCATGCCGTCTAACCTCCTCACAATTTTCAGTAAGCAACTCTGAACTCCCTACACCATACCGCTGTTGATACACAGCCAGCACTCCAGCCTGTCCGTTCGTCGCAGCTGTTTTCCCCCAGCATAACTCTACCTCCATGCTAACCCCATGGCCCATGTCCCCATCTCCCTGCCTTTTTTCACCAACTGCCAGACGGCTTTTCTTAGTTTCTGCTCACTTGACTGCATTACACTATGAAAAGAGCAAGAGGATCTATACAAATTGTAACCTAACCTAACTTACCCTAATTCAGATAATCAGATAAGCATCAATGGACTGCAAGAAAAGCCTATAGTTAGCCATGCGATAATGGTGGAGAGTTGGGGTAAGTGTGGGGGAAGAAGATGCTGCCATGCTGGGGCCTGGGGGATAGTAAGGCAGGGAAACAGTGACGCGGGGTTAAGTTAATGTCATGTGGAGTAAGCCGCATAGTGGCAAACCAGAGCTTTTTTAGAATCAGTTCATTTTTAATTTCCTAATTTACTCAAGATTTAAACCAATTTCTCAAGTATGATAATGCTGGTATCCAGGATACTTTACTGGTCTACTTATAGGACTCAAAAATGAACTTGAGGGAGAGTCTAAAAAACTCTCTGCTTTGCCACTATGGATAGGTATGTGCACATAGTACGCTTGAACGTAAACAATGCTGGCAAAATGGCGGACAGCCACTTTCCGCATCAGCGCGCGTAAGGTATTTAATTTTGAAAGTCCCGCCAAAATGTTAGCTTAATTTGATTGACTTTTGTTTGGAAACGAACTAAAAAAACTTGAACTATGACGACATCATTTTTTTTTTCTTGGAGTAAGGTGATGACACATTACCATTTGCACAGTTCACATTTGCGGCAATGCAGTGTGGTCAGCGGACGGACACTTAGGATAACAGCATTGCATGTGTAAGAAATGATGGTATGGGTTATAAAGCATTGGAGAACAACGTATTAACCGTTAACTATGTGGAGTAGCAGCTTGTGTGCACTGTGCAGAAGCACTGAAGCAGTGTTGGTCTGTTGGATTAAAGTTCGTGTGGTGAGAAAGGTCAATTGACTACAGCTGCTTACTGCTTAGGCGCCAGAATGACAATATCTATAGCATTTAGATAGTTGATGTTAGCTCCAGGGCTGATTTGAGCGTTAATTTGCTGGTCTACGCCCTACGGCTGCGCACAGCGCACCCATGGGGGTAACACTTAAAAGCTGAAGTGGTGAACGATTGATCAATGGAATGCCGCGGCTGAAGGAATTCCGCGAATTTGCCAGGAAGAAAAGTAACGTTTTTCACTATCTTATGTTGAAAAATTAACCACTCAAAGTACGCATATCTCCTTTCTGTGTTCTACAAATAAAAAAATCTGATAAATAACATATGCTTAGCACGACACTATATTCATGTTCACACAATTAAACTTATAGCCTTATCTTAGTTGGATCAGTCGAATCTTCTGACTACAAAAGCATCTTATAAAAACAAGGCGAAAATCAATCAATCATATTTAAATTTAAACCACTACACACACACAGCACTATCAGTAAAATTGTGTGTTTTTTTTTTTGCCACTCCACATTAACTGTGTTTAACTCCAATGAATTAGGGAATTTGAACGGCCTAGGTAGCTAATTTGAATCATTCACTAAGGACAGACAGAAAGATAGAGATCGGCAGGACGAATTTGGATGGTTAAGCAAACACAAAATTAATTGATAAGTTGATTTATTGGCTTAGCTCACGTGACCTGCTCGATGAAGGTGATCCCGATGGAATCGGAGGAACGGGTTGGTGATAATAATAATAATAGCGGTTTCAGCGTTTAGTAGGCCATAGGCCTGTCACCGATTCTTAACATCGCAGAACATCCACAGCTTGTTGCGGTCTCGAACTCACAACTCGCTGATTCAAATTCTGCTGTGCTTAATTAACCGCCCGGCCTCCTTGCCGATTCTGACCAGAAACTGGCGCACAGAGCTGGGATCGAACCCGCGTCTCTCTGCACCAATCTTGATACTCTGAACTGTAACCACTGGGCCACCCTGCCCCTAACCACTGGGCCACCCTGCCCCTCACTGGGCCACCCTGCCCCTGATGTGCTCGGCTTGGGAAGATGAAGATGAGTGCTCGGCTTGGGAGCGCAGCCGTGGGTAACAAAATTGACTCGTAAACAGGCCCTCGGACTAACGCCAACCATCAGCATGCAA